AGTGATTATAAATTATAAGACCTGTCAGTAATTTATAATTGATGTTAGTAAACTAACAAGTAAATTTAGTAATTTAACAACTTATGTTATTGCTTGTGATTGAACAACTAATATTAAATCTTGTATAATTACTTTTAATTGATGTCAAGATTATGATAGCTTGTATTGCTTTATCTAACAAATAAATCTGAATTTATAGTAATAAAGGTGCAGTAGAAGCCTCTTTCTACTCATTCATATCATTGTTGATTTCAGCAAAAGCATCAACTCAAGCATCCCAAATCACCTTCGGGCAACAATAATGCATTCAGGAATTTGTGGCGCCAAAAGAGGAATTTAGGGATTGATTCCCTTCTAAAGACTGAATTTTTTTTTTTTATAATAGATTAATATTACACCATGTCATGGTGTCTTTCTTCAAATTTAAGGCCTATGTGTAAAGAAAATAAATAATATTAATGAATAAGTAACTAAAACCAACAAAAATTGAGTCTAACAAAAATGAACTAGTCGAACCAAGATTTAAATAATCATTTGGAGAGATGTCCGCTTTCAATGATACCTTAAATATAATTTCCTCAATTAGACAATAAATGTATGCAATAAGAAAATAATTAACTAATTAATATCAGTCACCCCCTCCTTATGGCTCATTTGGGAGTTGGGTCATTTAGATTAACATTGGTTGGTCCATATTTGACTTTATTTTATTAATATTTTATAATAGTAAATTGAAAATCTAAAAATGAATTATTATTAAAATAAAATTGAAAACTTATTTGGATGGTTTAATCGATTGATATAGCCCAGATTTTATCTTAGTGGTAGAACGCAATGCCTATGGATGCATAAAAATTTAAAACCTTTACATCTTTAATTTTTATGTGAATATTAAAGACTATGACAAAGCCCCGTAAAGAAACTAGCTAAGGGAACCATTACTAATTATAGGAGTCATAAGCTAAAAATTAACCACAATTAATAGGGAATTCATAAGAATTTTGTAATATTAAATCCTTGCAATATGGAAATGAACTTTGTTTGCAAGCCAAAAAAATTATGCATTATACATGGTCAGAATATACCCCCTTGCCGCAGCTTTAACCATGATAATAATATTTTTAATAAAGGTCATTATTTTAACCATGATAATAAAGATTCACAATTAATATTTTTATTAATAAAGGTCCTCATTTTATTTGAGAAACTGGCACAGTGCCATAAAATATATAGGCCTCAAAGATTCTGGACAAAGTTTATAAAGATTTGGAGCGTGACCATTCACAAATTTAATTAAAATGTGATATTTTCTATTTGCGCAACAAAAACTCTCCTCAACAAATATAAAATTTTTGGTGCTATATATCCAAATAAAAAAAGAAATATCCCACATAACTGATCCATGATTCAGAATTCTGTGTTACATACACCTAACAATTTAAAATAAAATATAAATTTTTTTTAGATAACAATAATGATTCAGAGAAAATTTTAGAATTCCATATTGTGAAAATCATTGTTTATCATCTGGTTGAAGTTCGCTTAGCTTCTCATTTCTAGCAATAGAAGACTAGGTTGGGATATATTATTTATCATCAGATTTTCACCATCTTTACATCTCTAATAATATTAAATTTTTTACAAACTGTTTTAATCCATTTTGTACAAATGATTAATTGTGTTTTTTGTGTTACTAATATGTGACACTACATCATTGATATACAGTTGTATATCAATGATAAACAAGTTAATAAGTTTTCACTGATATGACTTATATATCAATATATATAATAGTAAATTACTGATATATTATCACAAATCAACATAATCAGACAATCAAACATAAACTTGTTATTATTGATATATAACTGTATATCAATGATGTAGTATTGTAGATCAGTAACGCGAAAAATGCATAACCATTTGCCTAAACGAATTAAACACAGCCCATAAAAAATTTTGAACTCTTAACTTATCACAGAGAATCAAATACCTAAATTAATAAATAAAAAATTACAAATCTATAGCTCCGTTTCCCGCTCGACATGCTCCGTTCCGTCGAGTATTGTAGATGTCTCTAGCCTCACATTTGTCTCTTGTCATCTTGACAGTGTCTCGCTCACACTACTCTGCTTTCTTTCGTCTTCGAGTTGTTTCTTCTATCGTGACTGTAGCTCATGTTTGTCTCTCTCATTCACCTAATTTCTTGCATTTTAAGTCTCTTCTGATATTTGCAAAAAATAGTGTTATAATTTTAAAATGACAGTTTTGTAAATTAAATATTAACTAAATATTAAAAATGTTATTTTTGAAAATTAAAAAAGAATAAGATATTTCTTTTATTTGGTTTTATGATATAGACTATGTGTGCAAAAGCTCCATTTTTATTTCTATTCTTTACTTCTCAGAATTAAAATAGGATTAATCTTATTAGCGTTATGGATTTAATTCTTGGAATTTATACATTCATTTAGTTTTCACACTCTATGAGTGTTCGGGTTCAAGACTAATATGAGACTAAGTAAAGGTTGATTTGGACTAATTTAGTGAGGTGGAGTAAGGTGGGTTTTAGATTTACAAGTATTTTGAAGCACCATTACAAAAAAGGTATATTGAACAGTTATTTAAACTTATATTGAATGGCTATAAACCGTCTAATGTGATGCCATTATATGTTCGCAAAATAAATATTGAATAGTTAAATTATCTCTCTAATATTACAAACCCCACATTGAACTCTTCTTTTTTTTTTTTTGGGAACCTATCCAATATGTGGTGCTGGAACTTATGATCGGCCTGGAATGAAGGGGGCTATATGAGACGATTATTGCTACAACAGTCGAATGTTATAGGCTCTAATTGTTGAATTGATTATCTTGTAAAGTGAGTAGGGGTTTCAAGAAGTTTCAATGTGGTTGTTTGTTTTGGACTCGTGAGGTTTGTCTAAGAGACATCAAATTATTTTATTGAAATCAAACCCAAATAACCACGACTTAGTTTGTATACACTGGTATGGCTTGCAATGTTATTTTTCCTTTCCATCAGTATGACACGTTATAAACTTAGCCTATCCTTTTTCTAGTCATAACCTATTATATGCATGTTTTAGATAGCTTAAGCCTAGCGTGAACAATATATAACTGAAACATACTACACATGTTAATTTGTGGAACTGGAGAGAGATCCATGGTTGCAACAAGGAAGACGAATGGGGCAGATTAAACAATATGGCCTTATGTGGTAGATGGGACTAAAAGCTAGGGACTAGAATTGGGATTTAGAAATTTAACTTTTTATGTTTGGTATGAATCGTTGAATAATTCAAACTTAATCCCAATCTCAATTCCAATCCCACCTTACATGGAATTGTTCGGGACCACTCACCCCCTGATATTACAAAATCAATTTTGGGATTGAAAATATTTAGACAAAATTGCCCTTACCCATCTCTCTCTCTTGCGTGTCCCTTCCCCTCCCGGACAGTGTCTTTGTTGTCCCTTCCTCTTGCATCTTAATGTTCCTCCCTTCTCCATCAATTGATGAGCTAGAGCTTCATCCTCTTCCCACCATTGACATTTATAGTGAGTCACTAGTTCATGGTTCTTGATCAAGCTCGGCATTGATGTGTTCAAGTATGCATTCATTAGATTTGAGTTCATCTTCCTCTCCTACCATCAAAGTCCACAGCAAGTCACTAATTCAAGTTTGAGTTTACCATTGATGGGTTCAAGTTCATTTTCTTTTAAATTTGGGTTCAAGTTGTAAATTGATGGGTTCAACGTCCCACCATTAACAGATTCGAGCTCCAGATCTAGTTTAAGTCTTCCTTTCAAGGCTTATCTTTCAAATTTGGTTCAAGTTCTTTTTCTCCCTAAAATCCAGTTGGAGTTCTAGATTTCATTTGACTCACCATTAAGCATTGTTTGATTCATCTTCATCACACAGATGCTCCAACAATGTTTTTTAAATTAATGATTTTTTTGATTGATTATAAAATAAAATTAATATAATTATTCTATTCAAATATTACTCCATACCAAACATTTTTAAAAACCTCAATCCTAATCTCAATCTTAATCTCATTCCCGATCCATCAAAATTCATACATTCATATCAAATAGGGCCTATATAGCCTACTTTTGTTAAGATCAAGTTGTTGACTTTTGGATTTTTTTCTCATCGCTAAATAGGATGTAGGACCTGTTTATTTGCATATACTTCCTTTTTATTTTTGAAACCTGTATGAACAATCTCCAGTATAAGTAGTTACAAATACAAACATTTTTTTTACTTTTAAAATTTTATTTTCATTTATTCAATTATTAGTTGATCATTAAGTTACATATATTATACCAAAATACCCCATTTTAAATATAAATATTATTTAAAAATAATTCAAATTACTCAAAAAATTAATGCATATATTTTTTACTTAATTATTTAATTTTAAAAATTTTAATTATGTAAATCTCTTTATTTAATAATTTTTAAAAAATTAAACATATAAATTGATTAAAACAATATTCAAACATGTAGTTAAAATTTTATGAAATAAGAATTTAATATAATAAATTATTCAATATAATTTATGTTTATTTTTTTTAAATTTTATTAATTTAAATAAAATGAAGGGGAGCTAATTTATCCTTTATTTTATTCCGTTTTTTGCCTCGTTAAGGTTGTGGTACCTCGCGCACACGCACGCAACGCAAGGCATATATTTCGCCTTTCTCAGTCCCCTCTCCACAGAGAAAGGCTGATATGCCGCGTCATCGATCCTCGTCATTAATATAATTCCATCTAAACCGTAAAACTGTAACAGTCAACGGTCGAAACAAGCCATCACAAGTTCATCAATCCGCTGCTTCCCCTCTTTCCCGTAAACTAAACCGTTGATTTCAACATTGAACCAACGGCCAAGATCATCCTCAACTCGGCGCCAAAAAGCCCAATCCGAAGCTGCGAGTGTCCATAACTCCACGCATATATATTTATAGACACATACAAATACAAATCGCACCGTCTAAACCGAAAACCACAATAATCTTGTTTATCAAATTTTGCTTTGTGTCTAACACGGTGATTGGATCAATACAATGGCACGTACTAAACAAACTGCTCGCAAGTCCACCGGCGGCAAGGCTCCGAGGAAGCAGTTGGCGACCAAGGCTGCTCGGAAGTCTGCTCCGGCTACTGGTGGTGTGAAGAAGCCCCACCGCTTCAGGCCCGGTACGGTGGCTCTACGTGAGATCCGGAAGTACCAGAAGAGCACCGAGCTTCTGATCCGGAAGCTTCCTTTTCAGCGCCTGGTTCGTGAGATCGCTCAGGACTTCAAGACGGATCTCCGATTCCAGAGCTCCGCCGTCTCCGCCCTTCAGGAAGCCGCTGAAGCTTATTTGGTCGGACTCTTCGAGGACACTAACCTTTGCGCTATCCACGCTAAGAGGGTTACGATTATGCCTAAGGATATTCAGCTTGCGAGGCGTATCAGGGGTGAGCGTGCTTGAGCATTCAGTTAGGTTTGTATAGGAGATTGGCTAATGCTTAATCGTTATTGTGGATCAGACTTCGATGGATTTAACTTCTATGCATTTACTGTAAGCAAGCTCAGATGTATTAGATTTTTCAATGAAAACAGTGATCCTGTTAAATATTTGCCCCCTTATTTTTCAATGAATCGTTATTGTGACGTTTTCTGATTCTGAATAAGAAATTGAATATTTCTGGGCACTTGTGAGATCGATCGTTGAATTGAACGCAAAAGCCAGATCGTGAGAAGGGATTAACTATCCAGTTTTATCCCTCGCTTAGACTTATGTTCTTAATGAACTGAGATTCATCATTCAAGAAAATTATTCATGCGTTTGCCTGGAGATTTGAAAAATTGATAATTGATGATTATTAGTGAAATTCTAAAGAAGAGGCCACAGAATTTAAATCAACATTAACCATAATTTATACCAATAAAATGCGTAGCAATTATCAATTTTGATCTGACAGGTGTTCTTGGTTGATTCTCTTGATTGGTCCTGTTCCAAGGCATGGCTTAATTTCTGGGCTGGTTTTATGGCGCATCAAAGGATTTAATTTGATAACTTGTTCTTTGGAGCAGGTAAAGGTGCAAAATCTGACAGGCTATTTGCATGTCAAGTCAATTTCATAGTTTTGTTCATGTAACAGTCCCTAGGGTCACTCTGTTCCAGGCCTGTTCTTCAGGTTCTCGTCATATAAGGTGAAAAAATCACATCAACAAAGCACCCTTTGTAAAGTACACAAGGGAATGTGTATAGAACCAAGAAGACAGAGTGTGTTTAGCTTTTAATTTATCAAAACTTCATTTATTAAAAATTTATTTAATAAAAATTAATTCGGTAATAATTAATTATTATAATAAAATTTATATTTAAATATATTTTTGTAAAAAATTATTTTAATAAATTGAAAGTATTTGAATTAATGATAATTTATACTTTTAAAATGTGTTTTTTAATATATAATGATCAAAAAGCACATTAATTTATAATAATTTATAATTATGTTATACAAATATAATATATTAAAAATATTTAAAAAATGTAAAAACAATTATAATAACATAAAATAATAAGGGAAGAGCAGAGATGAGAGTGAAAACGTGAGAGAAGAGACAACGAAGTAATAAGCTTATTATAGTCAATACCAGTCTTAATAATCTCATCTTTCATATTTACGTTTGAAAAGTAAGCAAGTTGAGCTTTCAAAAATTCACATTCAGGGTCCATTTAGTTTTCCTCTGTTTCATATTCAGAAAGCAAAATTTTACTTTTAAAAATTAAAAATTATTTGGATAGAATATTTTATAAGAAAATACATCCTGAAAGTACATTCAAACAGTAGCTAAAAATAAATTTTTAAAATATAACTATTTGAAACTTTTAAAAAGTGAATTTGAAAAGTAAGATGTTATTTAACCATACTACCCTAAATTTAATCTCTTATTCTTTTATTTAAAAAATAATTAATTCATTAAAAATATAATTATTATTTTAATAATAATAATTAGGCATCAATTTTTTTAGTATTATAAATTAAATAATTAATCATGTTAATTTTTAGCATTAATGTATATTAAAAATTATAAATCTTTATTACATCTTTTAAAATTACAAATTAAAAAATACAAATAACTAGAGATCAAATTTTTAACATTATAGATCATAATTTATGTTATTTAAAATCTTTATTATATTTTTTAAATATTTTAAAGATATTACATTTGTATAATAAAAATTATAAATCATTATAAATTAATGTCCTTTTTTATAATTGTACACTCAAAAGCACATTTCACTATCACCAACCAAATAACTTTCAATATATCAAATTGACTTTTAAAAAAATATATTCAAACACAAATTTCGTTATAACAACTGACTTTTACTAAACTGACATTCATCAAATGAACTTTTATCAAATAAATTTTTGACAAATCAAAAATCAAACGCATACTTAAACTCATTGAAAAATACTTTTATAAAGCGCATTTGGTCTCTTTTAAAATGTACTCGATTTTAGTACTCATCATACTGTGCTCAATGCAACGTCGTTTTCACATGATTTTTTCTTTCTAAAACCATAGGTATTATAATAATAAAAAATAAATATTATATTAACTAAATAAATAAATAAATTTAAATTGTTGAAATTTGAGTTGAACAATTTTAATGTAGAATTTGACTTGAACAATTCAAAACTATACTAAAAAAATTAAAAATATAGTTAAAAATATTTTATAAAATATTTTTTAAAATTTTATTGATGATGCACAAGTATTCATTTATTAGAAGTAATCTTGTTGAAAATATAATTAAGTACTAAATATAGAAAACTCTTTTAACAGGAATTCAAACTTTGTTTGCCACGATAAGAGCTATGAACTTATTTTGTTAGACTTAATCCCTGTTTTAAAATGCTTAGGTATTCTTTTTTTTTTTTGGGTTTTCAGTGTAGTTCTAAATTATTTTGGTCAAATTCTATATCTGAATTGTTGATGTCAAATTTCAACAAATTAAATTTATTTATTTAATATAATAAAAATAATTATATAATATTTATTTATTATTATAATAATTTTGTGATTTTAGAAGGGAAAAAGAGGGGGGAACTCATAAAACGATGCAGTTTGCTCGCTGAGTGAGGTGGAGTACCGAAACTGAATCCTTTTAAAATACACCCATCCCAAAAGTAAAAAAAAATCCTTTTAGAACATGAAAAGTAATCAATCCAAATGGAGCAGAGACTTCTCCAATAAGGTTTGGGTGGCTTAAACTACCTTTTCTTCATTCACATATGTGGCATTACCGTATAACAGTCCCTAGAGTCACTTTGTTCCAGTCGGATGGATATTATCAACGAGCCACCTGTCCATAGGCTTAGATAAGAAGTCAAAGATGAAGTCTTCATTCACAACCTGGATCCATGTTAAGTAAGCGAATTGGCAACCTCTCAACACATGCATGGTGCAAATCCTCTGGTGCATTACCACAGTAGTTGCAAGTGAAATTTTATCTGGGCTCTCAGCGTTGGTGAGAAGTTTGTATCTCATTATGAGCCAAGGAAAGGATCTTACTCTTTGTTGGCCAGGCCATTTCCAGATGATTTTCTGATGTCTTTCTTCTGTACCAGGAATTCACAGAAGCTTCGATAGGTTGATGCTACTGTAAATTGACCGCTAGTGGATAGGCTCCAGTAGCATTTGGCCTCTCCATCTTCAAGCAACGGAGAGTTTGTGGCATTAATTAGAAGGCAGCTTTTTGTGGGGAGGAGATTGCCGAGAAGGAGTGGCCAGTTCCAGCAGTGATAATTTATAACAAAATCAATAATCTGCTGAGTTTATTTTCTGGAATATAAGTGCAGGATAGATTCTTGAGTGGGCCAAGATCAAATACCCAATTTTCTTTCCACAACCTTACTGAGAAAACAATTATAAAAATTATTTAATATTTTATATTTTAGACTAAACAATTATATTATAGTTCAGAGTAAGTAAATTAATAGCTTAAAGTTTAGATTTCCAACTTTCTTTGCTTTTCAGTATTGATTTGATGGTTAGCATGTTTCCAACATATTAGATGTTTAGAGTTGGAAGCGGACCCTCTCAATGGCCCTCAGCATCCAATTCTTGTGTGTTGAAACGGTGAAAATTCTCAAACTACACATATCACATGGCTTGGCCATCTTGTTAAAAAAGTTAGGTCACAATTTAATAAGTCAAGCTATAGGTTTCTACGAGTTTATTCACTTATTTTTGTAAGCATGTAGAGGCCTACAGCTTGACTCGTTTAACGAAAAGGCTAGATTTAAATTTATAATTAGATACATTTATATAAAAGGCTAAGCTTATTTAGTCAAGATCTGACGCCTATATGATATTTCAAAATGTATTTTTTACTATTTTAAAACAAACTATTTATATGTATTTTAAAAGCCATGTAATGTGTTTATGGTGGAAATTTTGATCTTTTCAATGCATAGGAGTTGGATGCTGAGGGCTGCTGAGAAAGAAAGGTGATGAGCATTGTTTTAAATCTCGAAGAGTTAGATCGTCACTTGAAGAAGAAAGCAGTTTGAACCAAACATTTAGCCCATTTTGATAGTTGACCCGTTTTGACTTGGGCAATTCTCAGAGACCCAAAACAAAAGCCAGAGACCCAGAGTGTTTAAACTATTTTGGCCTATTTTTTTAATGTGTGTGTGTGTGTGTAAATATTATTTCTTATTTAATTATTATTAGATCGGTTAAATCATGAGACTTATGACCTATTGATATTTTGGGTTCATTGTTCGGTCTAATTTTTAAAATATTAGTACTGAGAGGATTTGGTTCCTTTTATAGTCCATTCCATTTTCCCATTCAATCTTTAAGTCCAAGCTCCAAAAATGGCATAAATGCCCGCACACATATTGGATAATGCTAAAGGTTGATAATGCGCTAATGCAATTAAAATGTGATTTTCTGTACAGAATATAAAGACTAAAAAGTATAATGCTTAAAATTTACAAGTTAGAAGCCATTATCAAAATTACACTGACTTGAAAAACTCAGCAAGATGCTAATTAACTGGTCTGCAGTGTCCATGATTTTAATCATACAAGTTCATCCATCACATAGTCCATAGTTTGGATCAAGAATGTCTTAAAATCATGAAGATGATGAAAAATGATTTTAAGCTAACATTTAGTTCAATGCTTACCTATTCAACACAAGTTTTCAATTTACCTCACATAAAGATAATGGCCATACTCTTATGGTGATCGATTGCTCACAAACAAAGAATTTAGAAAGCAAAAACAAAATTAAATTTTGGATAGATGTTGAAGCAAAATGTAAAACCAATAATGAAAAGTGGAAAACTAAGTTTAAATACCAAAAATGGACGAACTCATAAGCTAATATCGTAGCTAGACATTGCTTATATATACAAGGATGTGTTTTGAACAACAGATCAGATCAAGTCATAATGGAAGTGGAGGTTGCATTAGCAACGACGAACTTGGTGACGCAAAGAGATTAAGAGAAACATAGAAAGAGCAAGTACTTCTAAAAGAGAGAGGCAATATTTTGTGATTTCAAAGAAGAAATTTTATACAGCGATCAATCAGCAGTCTCAAGAGATTTTGAGCCCT